GGGGGCTGGGCACTGCCCTGTGCTGGGGAGAGCTCAGCCCTGCTGCGGTTCTGCCTGGCAGGAGGAAAACCAGCCCAAGGAGGGGCAGGAATGACCTGGGGAACTTCTCAGCGTTTCTTAGGGCTCAGCAGATGAAGTAATATCTTCTGAGGAACAAACCATGAAGCAAAGGGACTGCCCAGGCTGCCAGCCCAGCCATGGAGAAACTAAATGCGAGGTGCCCCAGTAACAGCTTTGGTTGGGTGGTTTGGGGCTGGGCAGGGATGTGAAGTGATTCCCTGCCCCCCTGAGCACTCCCCAGCTGCACACACCTGAGCTGAGCCCAACAGGCCAGCGCTGGCAGAGCCCAGGGCCACGGAGGGAGCAGCCAGGACACCCCCCCCCCCCACCCTGGGGCCAGCCAGCAGCAAACTGGGCAGCTCCAGCTCCAAACACTGACCACACAATGCACAGCCCTGACAATCACCTTTCCAGGACCTCCAGGCCAATCTGCAGGTTGCTGAGGGGTGACCTGCAGCTACAGCAAACCTGCTCCATGACCCTAGGGCCACGTGAGCCCACGGGGGCAGATCCCCCCTTACCAGCTCCAGGCGTCGGCGGCTGGAATCCAGCTCCCTCTGCACCAGCTCATCCATGTCAGCCTTCATCTCCTCCATCCTCCTCTGGTAGTACCTGGTGTTCTCCTTCTCCCGTGCCTCTGACTCGGCTGCACTCTCCAGCTCCTCACCCATCTTTATGATGCTGTCTCGCAAGCGCAGCACCAGCACCTGGGAAGGAGGAGAAGGAGATGGAGATGAGGAGCTCCAAAACTCTCCACGAGCACCAAGTGATGTGGGGAAGCATTCCCTCCCCAGCCTGTGCCACAGAGCCAGGCACTTTTATAAGCATCATCAAGAATCACAATGAAACCTTGCAAGCAGGGGCAGCTGCCTGCCCTGGGTGCAGACCCCAGTGACCCCAGCCAGGCCCTTCACCCACCACAATGGGCAGCACCATTGCCAAGGGCCCCACCAGCTGCTCCTTTCAGGGACACAAGAGCTTTTACCTTCGTCCCAGAGTTGGGTTTGTTGAGGCAGGACAACTTGAGAAAAAGTGACAGTAAAAACATATCCCAGGGTGCCAGCAAACATGCTGGTTGATGGGGACAGTGAAATACTGTGAGTGAGTTGGATGTCCTGACTTCTGGACAATGCCAGAGCAGAGGGATGTCCAAGGACAGATGTGCTGAGCCATCAGCACACACCAGCTCTGTCTGGAAGGAGGCCCTGTGTTCTCCTCCGGGTCTTCATAGCACTGTTGGCTTTCAACAAGCACCACAGTGAGGAGCGTTTAGAGAAGGGCAATGGTGTGACCCATATGGACAGACCACAAGCACAGGAGGTCTGGCTGAAAGGCTTCCCTGGCCCTCCCTGTCTGTCCCAGGTGCTTCTCCCCACAGAGCAGAGCCAGTGACATTACTGAGCCTGCCTTTTGCAAGCAAGCTGGCTGCTGCCCAGGCTTGACACCCCTCTGTGGGCAGGGAGGTGGTACCTCAAAGCGCTTCATCTGCAGGGCCTGGCAGTCCAGCTGGCTCTCCAGGGTGTGGATCCGGGCCTCCTGCCGGCTGACGATGGAGCGCTCGGCCGGGCTCTGCTCCAGCTGCGCTGCCCTGGCCTGTGCTGCCTGCAGCTGCAGGGGGACAGGCTGTGTCAGCACCACCCCAGCCCCTCACCCACCCAAACACCACCCAGCCCCTTGCCTGAGTCCTCAACCAGCCCCTTCCCTTGGCGTGACCCGCACCAAGGAACCCCCTGAGGTGACGGGCACTGCGGCACAGCCTGTGGCACCAGGACTCCCTGCTCTTCATACCACACAGCAACTGCACCACACACACACACGTATTTTTTGAATGAAAAAGGTGCTGGCAAGGTGTCAGGTGACTGGGTCTCTTTTGCTTTTCTCTTCTCACAAACTCCTCGAGGCAAAATTGACAGCTCATCCCTCTGAGGGAAGCTGCAGGGACCAAGCTGTCCGTTCAGCTGTTAAACCAGGATCTCCAAAGCAAACTGCCCCTTTAGTGATCCCAGCACAAGTTCAGTTCAGATTTTGTATTTGACCTAAAACCACAGGAATTTGTCTTCTTTTATGTCTCCTATCTCTGAGGCACCACTTGCTCCTCCTGGGAGGGAGCGAGTCCTTCTGCTTCCCGGGCAGCTTAGCCACGCTCCGACAAAGCACTGCAGTTCATGGAATTACTCGTGTTTAAATGAAATCCACACACCCTAGAAGGGTCAGTGCAGCTGTAGAGGCAAGGCAGCACAGCACCCACCAGCACCCACCCCAGGGCCAGCCCTGCCCAGGGGTCAACCCCATCCCAGGCCAGCCCCATGGAGAGTCACTAAATCACAGAGTCGTTCTGGCTGGAAAAGACCTTTAAGGTCATAGAGTCCAACCATTAACCCGACTCTACTGAGTCCCTCAGTTAATCTGTGACCCTCAGCATCTACACAGATTTTTAACACCCCCAGGGATAGTGACTCAACTGCCACCCTGGGCAGCCTAAAGTTTGACAAAGGACACGTGGTTTGTACCACCCGGGACTCGGTCTGACTTCAGACACGGACACAGAACCCACGCCTGGCGCTGGCAACGCGCCGGGCAGAGACACCCAGGGTGGTTCTCGCCCCTCAGCTCTGGGTGCTGCAGTCTGGGGAGGAATTACCTTCTCCTGAAGACTCTGCTTCTCTTTCTTCACATCCTCCACCTGGGTCTGCAGCTCCCGGATCTGAGCGATGTCTGTTGCCGACTGCGGGGAGAGAGCGCCCGGGGCTGAGGGCTCGGGGCAGGGCTGTGCAGCTCCTGCCCCCAGCACCCAAACCACGAGCTGCTCCAGCACTGGAGGAGCTTAATTCTCCTGAACCCATGCAGCTTTCATAATTTTTTTGAAATTTTTTTTTAAAAATTGAAAAATTGGCAGATCAAGAAAGAAACCAAGTTGTCAAGGTCATTCCTGTCCTTGGGGTCCTTTCAGTTACTGACTCCTGGCCCTGTAACACCACTGCAAGGGGCAGCAGACTGTGAATTGTCAGTCCTGCCAGCCTTCCCCTGCTCCTCTGGGAGCCTTGGGATCCCTCAGCTCCAGGTACAATCCTTTGGGAGAGCCTGCCTGAGTCTGGACATTGTGCAGAAAGCCCCAGGGCTGTCAGTTTGAGCTCTGTGTGAGAAAATAGTGAAAAAACAGAAAAGGACCGAGACAGGGATGCTACAGGATTTCCCAGCTGTGCAAACCAAAGCCAAGATGCCTCTTGAAAGAAGACTCAAAACTATGGGAGAGAGGAGCCAGAGCCACTAGCCATCCTTTCCTCTGAACACAGCATCTGCTCCCCGGGCTGCCCACCCTGCCGTGCACCTGCAGGCACTGCCGCCCCCCAGCCAGGCTGCAGGACTTGCCAGGAGCCCCCCTCGGGGAGGGAGATCCTGCCCCACCTCCTACCTGGGCAATCAGAGCCTTGTGCTTTGCCATGAGCTCATTCAGGTCTTCCTGGTCCTCATCGATGCGTTTCAGGAGGTCGGCTCGCTCGTGCTGGAGCTGGCACAGCTGCTCCTCCACCTGGGGCAGGACCCACGGGGCCACTGGATCTGCATCCCACCAGCACCCCTGAACTGCAGCACCCCTGGTGCCTGCACCAGCAGAGGCAAAGGCAGCTCCTGCCTGCCTGGGGAGGGGGGCTATGGGATGCTGCACCCTTGTTGGAGTTTTCTCCAGCCATTAAGCTTCCCAGGGGGTGTTACTCCCAAAAAGGCCACTGATTTGGTAAATATTCTGGGATATTTAGTACATACTGTGGGAGATTTAGTATACATGCTGGGAGATTTAGTAAACGTGCCAATTGTTGCTGCTTTAGCAAGGAAGTTTTGCTACCACCACCAGGAGGTTGGGCTGTGCTGCCCTCCCACCTCCCCAGCCCCACCCGCATCCCCGCACCAGGGTCTTGTTTCTGTTGAGGGTCTCCAGCTCTGTGTGCAGGTTGTCCAGCTCCAGGGCTGCCATCTGATGGGACTTCTGGGCCTCGGCACACTTTGCTTCACTTTCCTGCAACTGGGAAATGTTGAGGGAAACCATAATTAAAGGAGCACTCGGTGCCTGCAGAGACCACGTGCTGCTCCCCTGGGCACGCAGCCGTGACTATTTACATGGTGCTCCTGGATCATCTCCCTCTGCTAACACATATGGAGACGTGACCTTTTAAAGTCTGTGCTGCCCTTCAGCCCGTCTGCTTCTGGTTTTTCAGGGAAAACTGTTCCCTTCCCATAGCCAGGAGAGCAGGGCACAGCAAACCCCAGATCTGCACATCCAAGCTCTGCCTTGGCACTACCAGGGTGAGATAGAGCTGGGATCATTAATTTGCAAAATTATGTGAATTACATGTAATTCCTGATTAGAGCAATTCATGATTCAGAGTTTGCAAAGGGGCTTCTCATGTGGCACAAATTGCTTTTGCAAATACACATGAAATATCACATTTATAAATGCTAATTTGCTTTCAGTTCTTAGAGCTCAGCCATCAAAACCACAATCATCTGAAATGGGCTAAAAACATCTGGAAGATGCAGCACCATCCCAAGAACTCCCATCACCAGGACGGAGGAGTTTATGTAGGCTGTACCTGAACATCCAGTTCCTTGGGTTCCTTTCTTTTCTTCATGAAAAAAACCCACCAACCCTAAACCCCTCAACTTGCTGCTCATTTCCTGTGCCTGGTCCCAGTTTCCCTGCACAGGGTGCAGAGCTCTGGGCCAACAGCAGCTGCTGTGCTCCATGGTGAGACTTTGAGCACTTTAGGCTGTTTCTCAGGGTTTAGCTGCTTTTTTTTCCTCTATCCCTCAAAAGAAGAGGGATCACAAAGTACTGTAACTGGACCAATCCTCAATTCATTTCCCTCAACTGTTTGGGGTGATTGAGACCTACTTGGACAAGCTGAGCAGAATAATTTAACCAAAAGCTGCCAGTGCAGCCAGGGAAAACTTTTCCCCCTCCATCCCAGGATCAGAGCAATGGCCTTTCTGATGTCCCTGGAGATGTCAGAGGGTGGTCACCTTTGGCCTCCAGCTTCCTTCCTAAATTGCATCCCCTTCCTACTACTTTTACCTCCCTTCCTATAACCTTCATTCCCAGCTCTGAGCCCTTCTGTCACCCCTGCTTGAACCATGGAACGGATGGGAAGAAATAACCCTGAGCATCCTTGGGTCTCCAGCTGCACTGCCCACCACAACCTGCTTTCTATGGGAAATAAGAAGCTCTGGCACAGAGACATTCTGCAGTTTGAACCCTACAAAACCATTATTTAAAATGATGTTCCCGTGTTCAGCCTCAGCCCATGCTGATGGATTGTTGGCTTGTTCTCCTCATACATCTGCAGAGCCCCTCTCAGTGTGACATGTGCTGTGTTCCTCTTCCTTCAGCCAGCTGAAAAATAGCTCTGATGTGCTGCATGAAGCTTGGGCAGCTGGTACTGAAAGGAGACATCAGAGCTGCCAGTCGGGCTGACTGCTGGTTTTATGGCTAAGGACTTTTCCCCCTGCCTGGCTTCAGGTTCCTCCAGAAGCAAACCCATCCACCACCTGGGGCTGGCCCTTCCCCTGCCATGATGACACTAAAACTCCAGATAGCTCAATCAGAGAGGGGCACATCATCTCCAGGACCTCTCATTAAATACCAGCTTCCATTTCACTTTCTGTAATGGAATTTTCCCACTTGGGAAGAGTAAATTCAAATTCCCCCTCCCCCAAATGCATAATGTATGAACTTCTGAACAACATTAGTTTGCTGTGCTGCACCATCTGTTAGATACCTGCATGAAATGGATGCCTCAGCCTTATTAAGAAACAATGCTATATTTCTATATTTCTAGCCATATGGATTTTGATTAATGGAAATGTAGCATTTCAGCAAAGTTTTTCTTCTGGGGAAGGTTTGTGGGCTGGTGGTAGGATGCATTAGCTTTTGAGAAAGTCATCATGAGTGCCATTAGGGACCTTTCAAATGGAAAGGATGGCAGAGTTACAAGGTGTTTGTAACATGTGCAGCCTCCTTGCTGGCAGGACAGGGAACATTCCAGGTCCCCAGGATCAGCACAGGGAAGAGGTCCCCCTGGCAGCCAGTCCCCATGCTGAGCCCAGCCCCATGAACAGGGAAAGAACAAGGCAGGGCCTGGGCATCATCTCCAGCCCCAGAGTGGGTTTCAGGGTGTGGCCCCCCAGTACCAGCTTGCGACACAGGGAACACTGAGGGATTGTTGTTAAATTTAGCACTGCAGCATCAGCTCGAGAAGGTTTAAGGACTCATAAGTGCTAAAAATGGCCATCCCTGCTGCCTGCCCCAGCTATGGCTGTCCGGGTCAGTGGCACAGACATGGGCACAGACATGGGCATGGACATGGGTACTCCATGGGCCATGTCAGGCCAGACTCCTTCCCCTTCTCCCTCAGCACAGGTGGGAACAGCTGCTGCTCACAGATGTTATTTCTGCAGAAGAACTCTTTCAATTATATCTGCAATGTGGCTGGAATTGCTCATGCCTCCCAATTGGTTGGTTTCCAAGGGAAATGTACAGCACAGATTCATTACTGAGCAGATTCAGAGGACCAGCATGGTTAGCTGGTGCTGGTGGGATGCATGTGCACAGCCACCCCGGGGCTGGACACCCTGTGCCACCCTGTCCCATGGCAGAGCACCCTGTGGGACCCTAAGCTCTCCCCAGGGCTGAAGCTGTCCCTAGCCCCGAGGACACAAGCCTGGCACACGCCTGCAGCCTCTCAGCTGGTCACTCAGAGCCAGCAGTGACCCCAGGGTGTCTGCTCCTAAACTACAGCAAATTCACCGCGATCCCCGCTCCTGCCTCCCCGCATCCCCATGGCAACGCTTCCCATCCCGGTGCCGCCGCAGCCCCTCGGCACACGGGAAGAAAACCTCCTGGACAGAGGCAAATAAAGAAAAAAAAACCCCAAACAAACCACCACCTTGGTCCCTGTTGGCTTAATCCCAGAGAGGGGCTCCGAGCGAAGAGACCCTCGGCAGCACAAGGGGCTCTTCT